TGGGGAGGGGTTGTTGGGTGATAGAATAGTTGTCTGAACAAAAATAAGTTGTTGTGGGTTCCTCAAACCATAAACAGCTCAGCCCCTTCCCCGGGCTGAAGCAAGCTGTCTGTTCCTTCATCATCTGCATCCACATGAGGAAGAAACCTCTTGGTGGTTTAGTTCCAGAACTGGACTCTCCAAAAACATGTCCTCTCCGAAAACATGTCCTCTCTGAAAACATGTCCTCTCCTGCAACATCTGCTTGGGACAGATCGACCAGTCCTTAAGGAAATCCCAGTGCTCATGTGGCTACTCTGGTATGTTCTGCATCTGTCAGTACCTTATAAACTTATTCAGAGATCTGTGTGAAGTTGTTTAATCGTCTTTCACAGATCCTTTTGCAAATTGCTCTCTCACTGTCTTCCAGAGCTGGAACAGACCAAATAAAAAAACAATTATGGAAGAAGAGTATTTTTTAACCTCATCTTCATACATGGAAATCTGAGATTAAATATTCTGTCCATGGTATCCATGCAGGTTGAGGTAGGAACCAAATCCTACATTCCCACACATCAAGTGACTTTATCCCAGCATGAACTTTCTTTTCCAGGGAATATTCTCAGACACATCAACATCTAGACCAGTTGTTAGCTCCCATGAGGTTTTGGCTTTTTATATTTTGAAGACCTATTGTTCTTGTCTCCTTCCAATGAAATCCTCGGATGGGTTGCTGCATGAGTTCCATTCTAGCCTCCAGTGGCTGGAAATGAAACACACTGTATCTCAGACTCCCTGGAAATCTCAACTTTGAAAGGATTTTTATTTTACAACAAGAAAAAATCCCTATGCTTTGTGTTCCACTGTGGCTGTGAGCCCAGCATGAGATTTGTGGGCTTTAGTGAAGCTTTGCTCTTGCTACCTTTTCTCTCAAGCACCAGCAGCTGATGTGATGGTACCAAACACCACCTGGGAGAGCCAGGGCCACCCCAGCTGCACAGTGACAACTGCTGTTACTTGTGCTGTCCTCGCTGCTCAAGCAGATTTGGCACCAGCCACTTTCATTACTACCTATACTTGTTGTAAACTTCTGAAGGATGCCTTGACACAAGCAAGAAGCTTGTCTTCATCTTGGCAAACAAATCTTTCTTGCCTGCTCTGAAGAGACAGCAGCCCTGCTAGGTGTTCCTCTGAACATGGTCCACAGGGACGACGCTGGTGTCGTCACCGTTCAGACATTCACTGATACAGGAGGAAGAGAGGCTCTGGGAAGAGAAATGTAGGTTAGGACCTGTTTTCTCTGGTTATTTTCCTCTCTTCTGGCCGAGGAGAAGGGAGCATCTGGTGCACTGTCCCCCTGCAGTGCAGGAAGAAGAAAGCCAGTGAGAAGAAAGGGTGCTGAGCAGCAACCCCGTACCAGGCTGGGGGCAGCGAAGTCACACTTCTGCTGATGGGAAGCTCCACTACCTGTGATTAGCCTTCCTCTAAGGTGAATTAATTGCTCTGAATGAAGAAACACTGCTAGAGGTGTTCGTGCCCTGTGGAGTTGCACAAGTAGTTCAGTCACACTGAAGATGTATTTGATGCACTGTTATAATCTCGGGGATTTGGTTTTTTTGGTTGCTGCTGTTTGTTTTTTTTTTTGATTGTTTGTTTGTTTTTGGGACCAGTTTCTGAGCATTTACAACAAAATATTGTTAAAACCACAACCTAGAAATCCAAATTGGCAGTTGCTCATGGGAGAGAGGATCCTCAGCCAGGAGGAACTCAGCTGCTAAGTAACCATGGGATTGGGTATCTGGGGTTTTTCAGTGCGAAACAGATCACCTTCCTGTTCTCTAGATCTTGCTCCTCTCTGCCCAGTCCTGCACGGGATCCAGCAGCCTGGAGGAAGGGGAAAACCTGACATCTAAAGCGAGGAGCAGAACAGAAATAGGAGCGTTATGAAAGGCTGTTAGACTGTGAAAGCTGACCAGCAGGGGAGAGCTGCTGCCGACAGAGCCCTCCGGTCTGTTGCCATCCTGCCATGGTCCAGATCACCCCAGAACATCCCGGCGGCACATGTGAGGGAGACACCAAGCAGAGGAACGTTCCCTGTTGAAGGCATTTCCTGTGTTTGTTGTGAGATTGGACACTAGACAATGTTTGTAAAGATCTGTGTGCGCTGCCAGTGAATCATGTGTCATCAACAGTGATTTAGTAATCAACGTTCAGTGGTTCTTCTCTCCTGCGCTGCTGCAAGAGTCAGGTGGCTGCTTTCCACGCCAACTATAAAAGATAGCAGAGCCATCGCCAATTAATAAAGCCTAATGAACATTGGTTACCTTTAGACATCCTTCAGGTTCTCTTCGTCTCCACGACTTTACAAGGTTTCTACTGTGAGACAGAGAGGGCCAGCTTACAGTTACTGAAGAAGTACTGGGAATAAGTATCTCCTGTAACCTTGGATCCACAAATCAAAGCAGTGAAAGGCTCAGAACAGGAGCAAAAATGGAGCAGTGGAAAAGAGGGGTCCAAACAGCCCATGGTTCCTCCATCTAGAGATTTGCAAGACCAGTTCCCACACAGCACCCATCCGTGGTTCTACAACAATGAGTTTATATGTCCATTTTTGGTTTGGTTTTGGTGTATTGGTGTTTTTTTTTTTTCCTTTAGGGCAAATATAAAGACCCACACCAGCTCCTGTGATGCACCTGTGTGCAACTCGAGGAGTTCTCTGTCAGTACTTCCCTTTGGGGTAAATCTCAAAAGACAAAGATAATGAAGATTCCGTGATCCATGATTCCGGTGCAGCATCTGGGAAGGTTACCTGGTGCCTGTGCTGCTCACGGCTGATGTGTGGTTCCACGGATTACGGGACTGGGTTTGCGTGAAAGAATTCAGTCTGGAAGTTTTGGCCGTTCATGAACTACAGAATTTGAGATGCTGTGCAGAGAATGTGCATCCTGGTCCTAACGCCCTCCTGGGAGGAGGATGAGGGTGGAATCACAGATCGGGCTGGTGGAACAGTTATATCATTGGTTCTTGGTGACCACATTCCAATTTATAATCATCACCCCTCATCCTATCCCTCCACTCCCTGATAAAGAGCTCCTCCCCATCTCTCCTGTAGCCCCTTCAGGTACTGGAAGGGGCTACAAGGTCCCCCCGGAGCCTTCTCTTCTCCGGGCTGAACACATACTCAGAAGTTATTTTGACCCAACGTGTAGCCAGCAGAGATATCTCTTAACTGCTGTCATGGGGTGCAGATTTTCCATTACACACAGTCTCAGCCCCTGTAGCAGCTGTTGTGAGCTTCTTGTGGCCACTTCTCTGCAGCATTTGGGAACACAGCGTGTTCAGGAGCAAGTATGACCCTGCATTCTATACCCCAAGCCTAGAAGCGAGACCATACAAAAACCTACCCCGACTGTCAGGCTCCTCTAAATCTATTTAAACACCCCCTGCAATCCAATTGTGAACTTGACCGTAGTGTTACTTTGTGCTAGTACACCCAAAGGTTTGTTACTTTGGTTATTTTTACTTTGTTGCAAAACTGTAGTTGCCAGCAGAGTTCTGACTGTGCTTATAAACCCTCACCTGGAAGGAAAGAAAACAGGGGAGTGACTGGGGAAGGTATTTAATCTGTTGAGCTGTGTTTAGAGACACAGCATGAGGGTTACCCAGGCCATCTTCTCTCCTGAACAGAATTCAGGAGCTTATCTAAACCAGGTTCCTAAATCCATTCCTAGCAGAGCATAGACGGGGCTCCCATCCTTGGGATGACACAGGAAAAACTGCTAATGCTGCTTTCTACCTAATTAACTTTTCAGCCCTTGGCAATTAATGGCCACAAACTCCATAACCTGGCAAGTAGTAGCCACCTCCCTCTCACTTCTCGTTATCGTTAATTCCCTGACCCTGAACACCCCCCTGGCAGTTATTTCCCCTGCTTTTGTACCCAAATGCCTCCTCGCTACTCCTGCACACCGCACCCCTGAATTTTGAAAGAACAAAACCAAAATTGAAAAAAAAACCCAGTTCTCTGTAATTGCACTTTAGCTTTTTGGTTTACAGAGGACAATTTTCTTAACGCTTCCTAATTTGTCTGTGTCACCACTAAAATCAGAGTTGGGAGGTTCAAATACATTGAACTTCAGTGTTTCAGGTCCTTTGCTTTCATTTTAGTAGAGCTTTCAGCTACAATTTTTGGACAAAAACATAATGGATAAAAAGTATGGAGTAATAACCATGAAGTTAGAACTTGTTACCAGTTTCTCCTGGCATTATCTTATTAATTAGATGTCTCAGGAAGAAATTCTTTCCTGTGAGGGTGGTGAGACACTGGAAGAGGTTGCCCAGAGAAGCTGTGGCTGCCCCATCCCTGGAGGGGTTCAAGGCCAGGCTGGATGGGGCTTGGAGCAGCCTGGTCTGGTGGGAGGTGTCCCTGCCCAGGGGAGGGGGGTGGAACTGGATGGTCTTTAGGTTCCCGTTCCAAACTGAACCATTCTGTGATTATATGATCAAACCTTAAAAGAACAGAATGTGTTTGTGTTTAATTATTTGTAAATAGTTCCTGGCACTGCCATTGGGAAATAGTTAACGCAATTATGTTTCATAGGCGGAGCCTCTTAAAATGATGACAGCCTCCTTTGGTGGCATTCCCTGACAATCGGGATGAAATGATTTTTGCTGCGAGGGCTTTGTAGCCCCATTCCTTTTGCTGTGCCAACACTGACATTCAACCAGCCACATGGTGAGTTATTTCAGAGGGCAAAACTTGCCAGAAATCTAAACAAAGTCACCAGTGTTCCTCTCCTTGAGCCATCTCACCACAGCTCCAGCAAGTGCCAAAGATGGCACAGGAGAAGGCTGGACCACCCGCTCTGCTCAGCCAGCCCGGATCAACGCACGCCCCTTCTCAGGGAAGACAAAGCTCCTGAGAAGACAGATAAATGCTGACTTTATTACCCACACAGCAGTATCAAGTCTGATTTAACCCATATTCCAAAGCAGAACAAAAGACAAGAAGCCACATCTCAGTGGAATTAACTTTTATTGAAGGGGAAAAAAAAAAAAAAAAAAAAAAAAAGGTTTACACGTAGTTGTAGGTTTTTCCATCCATACTTTTGAAACTCCAAAAAAGGACTGGAAACAAAACTTGCTTCATCATTATTGCAATACCCAAACAGTGATGGTTTTTGTTGTTGTCTACATGAACAGCAAATTATATAACTAATTGCTACGTTCAATAAATATTTTTTGTCCTGCACCAATTAAAGGGAAATATTCAACAAGTACAATAAAACCCCCAGGGTTTTTACAGTTTTATCTTCAAATGTTATCCACTGTGTAGCAGTCCAGAAACTTTATCTATAAAACACAGCCTTAATTTTGAGTGTACAAGGATCTATCTTCCCAGTCAAATACCAAATTTTGCTCTAGCTCAAATAGTCTACACTCAAAGCTACTACTTGACAAAACAAAACAAAAAAAACCCCTCTGGTTCATGACTATCAAAGTAAATTTGTCATTACAAGAAAAGGCTCAAAGTCGTTACTTGTTTATCAAAGTAATAGGTAAACATTTTAACAGAAAGATTAACGAGTTACTTGGAAATGCAGGTTTATATTAAAGTATCTGAGTGTGCATATTACATATGACATGCAAGCTTTAAAAATATCAATCCTCTCTTCTGATTAGTCAGGAGTCCAATTGTTTTAAAAACAAAATAGGAATGACTTCCAAAATGTATCAGCACTTTGGGTTCTCTATTTCATCTTAAGATGTTTTACTACACAAAAACTACAACAATTACAATATTTAAGAGTATTACAATAAAGAGGGATGGAAAACAGGAATACTTCAACTGAAAATATGTATATTCTAAATGAACCAAAGATCTGTAAAAGAGCTGGATGGAGGACAAGGGAGGGAGGGAAAGCAGTCAGGAAGCTAAGATCTGAACTTTGTATTTAAAAATCACGTCCTCAAACTGTAACTCTTCTCACCTTCAGTAGCGCCCTGAAAAAAAAGAAGACAACACAATTACTATAAACTGTCTGTACTCAGAGCAACTCAGCTTTGACGTGCCCAGCTTTTCTGCTTTCGCATTCAGAATTCTCATCCATCAATTAATACTAGTAACAACAATGTTTAAACCAGCCAGGTTCTATTTATTCACTTGTATTTACTTACTTGGACTATAGGAACGGGATCTTGATCGTGATCGGTATCGACTATAATAAGGCGATGGTGATCGTCTCCTTTAAAGGAAATTAAAAAAGAAACCAAACAACATCCATTATGAAAGAAGCCTTATTCACATCACTTCTACAGAACAGAACCATTTCCTTAGCGCTGAAAGACTTGGCCTGCATGAATGATTTCAGCTTTATTTGGCTGTGGCTTACAGTTATTTAACAAATGCTTTTGTATTTCTGTATTTGATGTGTTTAAAACTGTAAGATATTCCCAGACACAGAATTTAATAAAGTCTCCCTAGCCTTGCAAACACATGGAGTAGTTTTACAGATGCCTACAATTCACGTTGAACAACATTCCCCGAAATCAGATAACTTTCAGAACAGAGAGACAGTTATAAAGTGTCAAGCATTAAAAATCCCATCTACAAATAAGCCCCTTTTAAACAGCACTGTGTGTGTGTGTGTCCCTGGCTCTACACACAGCATGGAAAAAAACGAATTCCCTTTCTATCTGTCCACTAGATTTGTAGGGCACATGCTCTACCTCCTTCAGGTAGGAAAATAAACCTGTTGCCCAGCTGTTTACTGTAAAACTGAATTACAAACACTGAAGATTACAACTACAACACCACAAAACCTAATGTAATAAGGCTCTAAGACCCAGCATCTTCCTACAAACTGAGTAACATTTTTTGTCACATTACTTTTTAGTTTTTCCAACAAAACCACTGTTCTACAGAAATAAAATAAAAATTCTGTACCTGTATCTGTAGTCATATTCTTCGTATCTGTCATATCCTCTGTCATACCCCCTATCATAATAGGAGTCACGACGACGACCTGCTCCACCGCCACCACCTCCTCCACTGCTATTAGAGAAAGAGGAAAAAAAAAATTACTTCAGATATCTACTCTTCCTCGTGATTTAAATTATCTAAAAGTTTTTGTAAGTGTTCTTATAAATCAGATGCTTAAGACTATGCCATAATACAACTTAAAAATGCAACATTTAAAGAAAAACACCGTCAAAAACCCCAGAAAACCCACCAGAGGTTTGAGCTTAATTCTCATCCAAATCAAAGGCAAATGGGCACCCTTAGTATTTCAGTAAGTTAAGGGTGCATTAACTGACTATGCTGGGCATCAATTTTTTAAAAATAACTTTTAGCTTTTCTTTTAATAAAGATACAATAAACTACAGTAGGATTTAATAGTGTAGGTGAACCATAGTAACACATTCTTTAGATTAGTAACTTTGTGACAAATACAACTGGTGTAAGTCTAAAATTTCTGTAGCTCTTTCTTCAACCAGACCCCAAACATTCATTTTAAAGGTGTTTTAGTCCCATTACAGGGAACGAGCGAGCTCCTTACTGTGTTGGCCTGCCCATGTAGATGCCTGGGGTGGGGGTATGTGCTCTCTTGGTGATGGAGTAATCCACTCGAATCCTCCTGCCATCCAGCTCCATGCCGTTCGCATGCTCCATTGCCTGCAGGAGAGACAAGGACCAGGGATATGAAACCTACAACCTACTGGTGACTGTGGAAGGCTATGTACAAATCACATTATTTTCCATTAGAAACACAAGCCCTGAACTTGCTTTCTTTAGAGTGGTTACTAGTGCCCCACTGTGGCGAATGGCTCCTCTGTGTCCCTGGCCCGGACCGCACTGGGGTGCCGGAGAAACGTGACACGCCAGCTCTTGTTAAGAGAGCACGCTGCTAACCACCACTGCAGCCACTTTCACTAGACTTTCATCTTCTAACCATCAAGAAAGGCCACCTCAAAGTCAGAGCAGCTTTTTCCGAAAAGTGCATCTGTGTCTGTGACCCAGAGGGGACGGGCGGATTCAAAAAGCCGTGCGAAACAGTGGCTTCCTGTAGGGTGCATATGGCCGGATTACTGCTCGTCGGCTGCCATTTCATGCTCTCCCAGCCTCCTGCCATCTCCCTTACAAGGACCTACTCCAGCAGAGCTTAGTAAAATGGCGGGTTCAGCCTACATGGAGACCTAATTACAACCTTCCTCCCCACTCCCTCTCACAATAGCAGCTCGCAGCAGCCGGGCGGGCGAGGGTCCCCGCTCCACCAGCCCCTGCCTTCCCTCCCTCCCGCCCGCAGCCCCTGCGCACCCTCCCCGCGGGTCCCAGCCCCTGCCCCTCTGCTTTGACAATCAATACAATGGCCTCCCACTAACTCCAAACCCATCAAAGTAGTTTTTCCAGAGGAGCACAGCACACTTTTAAGAATTATATTTACGCAACAGTAACTTCAAAAAAAAAAACACCAAACAAAAAACACACATGAAACCACAACTGTAGAAATTTAACAAACAGTTAATGCTGGACTTAAAAGCTGTTAAAATTTGCAAAGCAAATTTTTTTGGATCCTTTCATCAGCTGCTCTAGGATCTCTGAAATACCAGTACACACACTTGATTCGTGACATTAAGCACAGAATTTAGCCCAATATACATTATTTTTATTTTTCATGTGTGGAAAAGAGACACAATCTGGAGTTAAAGAACACAACCATTATTAAACTGTGCGGAACAGGACAAAACTTCAAAACATGAAGGTGCCTGTAAGCACAGCAATTTTTTCCTCTTTTTTTTAAATAATGAAGCAACCAACCATTCAGAAATGTAACTTTTTTGCAGCTAACACAAACCTGATTAAATTACCATACAAATTACAGAGGAGGCAACAAAAACCTGACACTGCCATGATTTAACTGGGATGTCCCTAAACTGGGTGAATTATCACTAACCTATTTAACTACACTTAGTGTTCTAATTATGCTGTTTATATTTATACTCTATCGCCACCTAGTGAGCTCTGCTCCCAAAAATACAACTCCATTCAGATAACTGCAAGCCAGAACTAAAGAGCATTTCAAGTCTTTCAACATACACTAAAGTATGTTTTGTGAACAAAACACGATCCTTAGCTTCAGTTTCCTAGCCTTTTTTTAAATCCTGTTCCACAAGGATGATCTAAATGAAAATAAATTTGTGCACACATCCTAAGAACGTATGTGTGATCAAACCTAAAAATGGAGGCCGCAAACTGCTGGCTGAAAAAATAGCTTTGTGATGAAAATAATCTTTCTGGAAATGCAGTGACAGGCAAGGTGTCTTGAAAAAGTAGGGAATTTCCTGCTTCATGGCATTTTAATGTCCAATCAACAATTTTCTGAGTAATAAGCTTAGCCAACAAGAAGCCACCTCAAATCCAGAACATCTGGTACACGTCTTAATTATAAAAACAAACACCTCTTTAAGAGGAAGACTTCTCTGACATAGGGAACAGCATAGAGAAGAGGAACACATCAGCAACACAGATTAATTGTTAATTTTGAGACCTGACTGTTTGTTTTGGAAGTACCAAATGTGTTACATTTCAGTAGATAAATATTAGTTCCTAGTTATTAGTCTGCATGAAACTCAGACGTTCTGGTCACAATGTCTAGTGACCTACCCAATACGAGAACTTTAATTTTCTTAGCTTTCAACAGCTGTCAAAAATTACAATAACAATCTTTAATAGATATACAGACATAAGAAAGCTTTTTGTGGTTCTGACTGCATCCCCCAAATGCAGAAAAGCCAAAACCTACAATAAGCCACTCTAAATCCAACAATAATTGATAGTATCACTCACATTCAGTCACTAGTAACTGGAAATTCCTCCGCAAGAGGTTTTCAAATACTCTGCATCATTCTTAATGTGCACATCTCAAGTCTTTGAAACAAAGTACTTAATTTGACACTATTAGCTAATAATTGCTGCAATATGAACAAAAGCCCTGTTTGGAAACCTGGTTCCAAACAAGTGATACAACAGTGTTTATTTTGTACAAAAGCTGTAAAAACATATTCGTTATTCTAATTACTGACATTTTTGTGTTTTCTTTAAAAGTAAAACAATTTATAAAAAGTTTCGGATTATACAATTTTATTAGACTACCATGTCATATTCAAAACAAATTTCAGTTTGCTTTTCTTGCTGTTTTGGGGTATGCATGAATGCTGTGTTAAGAACATTTGAATAACAAAGGGCAAAAAAATTGCACATCACTCTAACAATGCAGAAGACATTCCCAAATACTGTTTAAAAGATAGAATTGTATTTTCCAGACCATCAAATGAAACATTTTTAAGAGAAAAATCCAATTACACTGGGGTTTAAGACACACGACATCCTCTCAGGAGCCTTTAACTGTCAACAGCCCATTTTTATTTCAACCTGGATCTTCTTCCAAATATCTGAATAGAAGACTTGCATGGCTTTTGCGAGATGGCAGTAAGCAAGCCATCAGGATTCCTGTAAACATGCACTATTAGTTTTGGTTGCAAATTCTAAGGAAAAATTGACTTTGTAGGCCAGAACACATACCTATATGTTTGCAGTCAGAAAACAGAGAATGAAGATTGGGCACGGCACAGGTAATAATTCGGTCTTTGAGTACAATTTGAAACCTGCAGCAGTCTATCCACAACAGCAAAACTCCTTCAAATTATTATCTCTAAGGTGCTAGTTTGACAAAATGAGTATTCCCCAAACTACAGGATGGCTCCAGGAACTCCAGTGGCTCAAAGCAGTCAGAAAGAAAGCATTAAATTTAACATATTTCAATTTCATTTGATAATTACTACAGCTTGTGGTGTTTTCTACATGTACTATAATTTAGGTAGAGTAAAACAGATTTGGACATACTGAACTTTTACTTGTATGCACAAACTTAACACAGGTGACAGGTAGTAAGTAGTTAATCTATTAAGACTTCTTAAAATAGTTCATCATTAAGAATAATTAAGAAATTAAATAATCTTTCCATCTGGATAATGCCACAAAGGGCAGCCTGGACAAAGAAACAATTTGGGAAATCTCTGCAATCCCAGCGCTCACCGGGGAAAGGGTGTGGGGAAGAGGAGGGAGAAGGCACTTGTCAGAGTGGGTATCACAGCCACTTTGTATTTCTACTATGAAATTTAAGACACTATTTGTACTGTACAAAAGATCATCAAGCCTTCATTTCAACTGTACCCAGCTGCTCTGAATTACTTCAATAATGTGACATTGCTATGAAGTTAGTGAAGTACAGAATGAATACACCTGAACAGTCCAACATGAGCAAATTTATGTTGGTACTCAATTTGAAAATGTATTTTCGTAATTCAAAAGTAACTACGTCCCAGTATACTGAAATCAGTAGTTCAGGGTGGGATTTAATGAGGACATCTGAAAGGACATTCTGAAAAAAAATAAGGAATCTGATGGGATAAGAATTCAAGAAACCCAGCTTTTCACACTTATTGCAGTCTGCCAAGTTGAATTCAAGTGTCTATTTCACCTTTGAACACAAGTCAATTTATATCCTCTAGGCTGAGGTTTTGTTTTTAAAATTTTTACTAGAATATTGTGCATGATTTCTTATATATAAATTTCTGAGTTTAAACATCTATTGATTAAATGTATTCTCTTTAAAGCATACTTTGAAGAGTTTCAGAGTCAAGAAATACACCATTCTAGAGAACCAGAACGAGTAACTGGATATGCTTCTGCAAGTACTAGCAATTTCATGGTATTTCAGAGTCTCCAGAAGTCTGTAACTTGTAATTCCAAACATCTGAGACCTTCTTGTGTTCTTTTCTGTTATATCAAGGGTCTCATTTGATACCACAAACAAATACTTAAAACATTTCTTCAGTAAGTTATGTGAGAAGGTTTGGTCAGTAATAATGCTTCTAAACTGGTCTGCTTGCACGACAGATTAAATGCCTTGCAAATTAACATTAAAAACCCTGTTATTATCCCAGTCTTTGGCAATTGAATTATGTTAACAGTTCAGTTTGCCCGTACAAAATTTGTCTTAATTGCTAATGAATACTACTTCAGAAAACTGTTCTGAAAGATGGTCAAAAACTATAATGAGCATGTAACTAGCATTAGAAAACAGAGAATTCTGTATTGCCAACAGCTGTTGTAGCTTACGCTTCTCAGTTGAGTTCTTGCTACATAGTATGTTGACAGTAGCCTCAGTTTAAACAACAACTAATACTTCACATTCTGAGTTACTGAAAAGCTGGACAATGGCACATGAAACCCCTGGTAACTGTAATAAGAATTATCTCCCTAGAACAGCCCGCACTTTTTACTCATAATTCTCTCAATTTATTCTTAAACCTGAGAAACACCATTCCTGTACTCCACACCCCCCATCCCAGTACATAAAAGTTTGTGTTCCTCAAAACACAGGAAGAAAATCCTGATGTGATGGGCAGATGAATACCCTCTACAATTTAGCAAAAATTGCAATATTACAACACTGCCTCAGTGCCAGCATTGCCAATACTGAGAACTACACAAGAAAGAATGCTAATCTTATGAAACAGGTCTTCAACAGATGTTTGCAGATCTTGCCCTTTGCATAATATTGCACATGTGGTTCTGAAAACTTAGCTGAAGGGTGGCCAACATAAGACAAGACACTGCAACACCCAAGGCAAAAAGCAATACCAAATATTACTTAGAAAAGTTTTTTTTTTTAAAGAACAACAACATATCACAAAAAAATGAAAACCACTACACCCATAAGAGAATAGCCTTTTTTTCTAAAAAAAGGTAGATAATACATAAGCTATTCAAATGGGCTTTGGAGAAGGACCCCAAAATGCACACTAGCACAGCAAAAGCTCAAGTTTAGTGTACAAACAACCGTCTAGTGTACAACCATCAATCCTCACAATTTGTTGTCTGCTATCACATTTTGAACTAAGTGTCCACAAGCATCTTTAATATGGGTTAGAATATAACAATCTAGTCAAGTCCCACCTTGCAAACACAAGACCAAAAATAAAGACACTTGATGGAAGAGGAACATTCTGTCAGACCACAAGTTTCATCTCGATTTCAGCAGTTTCAAAACAGAGGAGATTCCAGGAGAAATCTCCTTTAGATTGGATACATGCACCCCTTTCTTTCACAGTGGTGGAATGTCTGAAGCTACTGTGGTTCTCTGAGAGCTGCTCTACCTAGTAGCTACCAAAACCTAAATTTCTGTTCATCTTTATAACCAAGATGATCATGACCAGCTAACAACAAGGCTGCTATGGTGTCATAATCAGTCTGAAGTTCTGAAAGTCTAAAACAGCTTAAAAAGAAACTTTACTACTGCCCCTTGTTATTTTTAGGACAAAGTCTCACCTCTAAAAAACACTCCATTTTACACTGTCTACAGATTTCCACCACGTTGAGCCAGCTCAACTCAGAATACCTTTACCACCATGTAGAGCTAGAAACATGGCATGGCTTGGTTTCAGAACCTTGACACAGAGCAACATTTTAATGAGCTCAGTAACTGATCCAATTTGTAAGAATGGTAACCAGCGAGGACAAAGATCTTGAGGGATTTAAGCTGCAACAGAATGCACGCAACACTGATACTGACCTATCTTAAACCAAGTTACAGAAGTTTAAACAGAACTACTCTCATTTCATTTGGTGTCAAATTTTAATATTAGCAGTGTTTGAGAGCGTGTCAGCTGACAGGCTTCCCAGTGTTACCTCTCTTGGAAGTACAATAGTGAAGATAATGGAAAATCTTCATTTTTTTTCCTAGAGCTCTACATGTATTCAACCCATCTATGCTTTAAGAGGGCTGGAATTTAGTTCAACATCTCGAGTTTTATATACTCTTAATTTGGAGGCTCAGAGTGCTGGTGGAATTTAGTTCAACATCTCGAGTTTTATAAACTCCTAATTTGGAGGCTCAGAGTGTTGGTTTCTTTTTTCTTTGGGTTTTTTTTTTTTTAAAGATGAAAGGTATTTACTCAGAACAAAAGTAATTTAAATGTCATTGCTTTTACGCACACTTAACTTTTCAGATTTGATTCATCTTCCACACAGAGAATTACTTCACATCCTTAAGGGTTCTCCTACAGGGCCTGTCAGAGTTTCATGTCTTTAGCTCTATCCCCTTTTTCTACACTAGCTGTCACTTATTGCCATCTTCAAATCTGCCCTCAAGGCCCACAAAATGAAGTCAAATAAACAAGTTTTTCTTCTCTCTGCCAAAATATTTCAGTTATGTAAATTCCAAGTGTTGGGAGGTTTTGTATCCTTCCCCCTCTTCATGCACCAGCCCAATTGGGCTGAACAAAATGGGTTTAATTACATCCCCAATTACTTAAGTTCCTGCTTAAGGTGCTATGTTTATTTCTGCATTTCTGACCACAAGTAACAGACTGTTTTTTGTCTTTGCATTCCAGTCTCACAGTATCTGCCAAAAAAGCTTTATACTAAACAAATGACTTCATGCTATTTACATGGAACATTTTAAAAAATGCACGGTGTCATGCATGACCATTGCTCATGGCAACTAGGAAAAAACCCTACTTCTAAAGACATGAAGTTTTGAAATAGACATGAATGTGACATGAACTACTGTGCAAGTATTTTGGACATTAAATGTTCTACAAAACAGACACATTTTCAACTCAAGAGTACAAAGAAACAAAAGGCTAAGTGAGGACAGAGTAGGCCACGAAAGCTAAGTTCACCGTTACCCACTCCATTAACTGCTCTCTCAACCTGTCAAAGTCATAGTAGGAAAATACAGAAGGGACAGCAAGGAAAGTTTTGTGTCCTTTTACTTAGGCCTATAACCTGTAACAACCACACATCTATACATCTACAAACCCTACTCTTCCCATAAACTGATTCTCTGTTGCATCATACTAGAAATCAATCAAAGATCACAACTGAGTTTGGTCCAACCAACTCATCCATGAAACAGGTTTTTTCTCATTAAAATATCATCAGTCTTCATTTTTCAACTACTGATAATAGGTTCCACAGCTGTCACCCTCCGTCCCTTCAATCCTAAGTGAGAAGTGTCATATCCAGGAATTATTAATATACTTATTTAATGTAAACAGAACTCAAACAGCAGATCTGAATCATCTGCCCAAGACAAGATCCGTCCATAAACAAGATGCTTGAAGTCTGTGACTCAGTTTGTCCAAAAGATACAACCCCACAGTGAAGGCTTAAAGAAAAAATATTGTGGGTTTTTTTTTTTTTAAAAAAGGACGTGTCTTTACTTTTAACAATTTTACCTACAAATTTCAGTAAATGTAGTACAGTTCACAGTATCCTCACACAGGTAAAAAAAGTACTGCTTAATGTGGTGAGCCATAATACAAGGTGCTGTTTATATTGATTCTTTCCTTATAGATCAATTATACTAATAACACAGTCCAGCTGTAAACAGCTATCTGCATAACTAGCAAAGTCACTGACCAAGGCAAAAATCAAGATAAAACTCCACTTTTCAGATGACATGCTTTTAGAGAAGAAAATGGAAAGAGAATTTTCAGAATTTTGATAGATATAGAAACCTACTTTGAAAAGTTAACTTTTAAAATATTTCAAAAATACTAGGAGGCTGAGAAGAAAATGGAAAGAGAATTTTCAGAATTTTGATAGATATAGAAACCTACTTTGAAAAGTTAACTTTTAAAATATTTCAAAAATATTAGGAGGCTTCTAGGTCTGTCTAAATATTTACTTTGATTTTGAAGTAACAGACTAAAATCAAAGCACAATACTCAGCAGTGATTCAATACAGACAGTTCGTACTCAAAATTTTCTCAAGCATCTGAACATTGAACTAAAATGTTTCATCTGTTTTAAAGTGCCATGTTGTTCAAACAAAATATTTTGAATTAGTCTCACTGTGAGAATCTGCTAGTGAATACACACTCAAACAACATTTTGGGCCTTTTTTTCCCCCACAGATATTTGTGAAGATAATGCACAAAGAGCACGCCTGTTAAAAGTAATAAAGTATGAATTTACCTCTTTAGAATCATCAATTCTCTCAAAATAAACAAAAGCAAATCCTCTTGATCTTCCAGTCCGTTGATCATAAACAACGTTGACACCAGTCAAAGGTCCGTAACGGGAAAAGACTTCACGCAGATCTCTCTCAGTAGTATATAAACTGAGACCAAACACTCCGAGACACGTATTAGGATCTGGATTAGCCTGGCAAGACAAATGTTCAACTCCAATTAAGTTTATAAAAAACAAGTTACACATTCCCATATCAAAATTTATCTATTATTAAAAATTTTAGTCTGAAGAAAACCTGCCAATTTTTCAAGCCATTAGATTAATATTTACTACATCATGATTACACACTGGCAAAAATCCACAAAAAGCATAACTATGAACGTTGCTTCACAACAGCTTAAGCCACTGTACATTAGCACTGCTGCAGTCTCGCCTTTTCCCACACATTCTTGTCTTCTCTCTCACACTGGTATTATCTGGTCCTGGTGAGCTGTTTCACACCAAGGTAAGTGTGCAAAAAAACCCCAAACCATACTCTTTTTGACTGGTTTAGTAGAAAAATCAGAGAAACTAAACCAGTTTAAAACTAAAAGGATCAGAGAAATACCCTGGTCCTCATCAAGAAGAGGGAGACCTGTGTGTCTCCTTTAGATCAGCATGAAGTGATGTGGAACCAGAAGCTCAGGTACTGAAATGGACTATAAGGCAGGCTACTGGGAGAAATCTCTCAGAATGACCTAGGATTAGTATCTTAGATCTTGGTTTGTGTACCTACCCTCCTGTCCATACAGAGATACTTCTCATTTACATTTTGAGAGGCTTACCGATCCTTTTCATAACTGTAAATTTTCCTAGTCTATTAAGATTTACACATCAGCTGATAACATATGAGTTTATTTCTTCAAGTTAAACCAAATTAATTACTCAGGTGTACAAAATCACAAGCAACCTTCAACATAACATGCTGTATGTTATAAGCAAATAAATACTTAAGAATTTTATTATTTGGCTCCTCTAGTCAATCTTAATCAATACTGTCAGGTTGCAAGCATGCCCAGAAAGGGGCTCGGTTTTGTAGGGGGTACATATACTTGGAACTGTAGCAAAGAGCAAATGAGAAGGGTTCACCTTTTAGAGCAGAGAGAAGCAGATGGCACCCTATCTGCACATACTTGCAATGATATGGTTTTCAATGAATTTCCACAGCTACCCTACCAGTTGCAGGCCCAAAAAACAGGTGCCCAGCTGGAAATACAGAGATTGCTGCCTCCCCCCTCACTCGCAACTGCCGTATCTTCCAGTGACAAGACAGCAGGTCAAATTCAGCCTGCAGCTACCCTGGACTACACTGGTGCAGGCACCAATTGTTATGTTGATACTCAGCCTTGATGAACATGACATACTCTGCTGCCAGTGTGCCTTCTCCTGTTGGACATTGGAGAATGACTACGGCTCCTCCGACGACGGTATTCTGGTGTGTATGATCTGCTTCGACCCCGTCTCCTATGGGAATGAGAATGGGAATGGGATCTGGAACGAGTGTAACGTCTGTGCGAATGTCTTCTGGACCTGGATCTTCAACAAAGAGAAAGCTTTTAGTTAGGCCACATGCACATAATGTACTGAATTGTAACCCTTACATTTCCTAGAGAAAAATCTTTTCTTAAGAAGCTCTCTACAATTAAAATAGTTTAACAATTCCACAATGATACAGAAACCAGACATGCCACACTCTAAAATACTATCTTGGCTGAAAAATAGAAAGATCTAGCAGCACCACAGTGCTACAGTATCTACAAATGAAGCTCACCTAGGCTTGAAAGTTATTCAAGATTAGAAAAAAAAACCTCTGCTCAAGCACTTCTCAAGTGCTCTCTGCTCCTTCCTGCCCGTGTGTGTGTACAGAGACAGAGTTTTACAGCTCTCAGTTCTAAGGGAGCTTGCTTGTCATAAATATTACCTGGCTTATCCTACCAATCTTCTCTCTTCCTTTGTGCGACCATACTGGCGAAAGTGGGAGAGCTACCAAATCCTCCTTTCATCAGTGAAGAGAGAAACTAGACAATGGGATTTGTAGCTCTGAAGGGGGACGAGGAATTGCATTGTATTATGTTCCTTCTCCCCAGTTCTTGGGAGAGATTAGTAATCAATCCATCTTCCCTATTTATACACTTTATACCAGGGCAGTTGAAAAAGATTAATGTTCTAGCTTCTCTTCTTGCCATGTTTAGTCAGATAATTACCTCCCTGTTGTTAGGATATAATACCTATATGAAATCATGCAACTTTGATGAAATGATGCTTGTTTAAAACTGAGTTTATCCTTGGCTACAGGTCTACAAAGAAGGGCATGAGCAGTAACACTGAAACGGCACGAATAACCTCCTGGACGTACCTTGATTTTGATCTTGACCTAGAGTGCGATTCAGAATGTTTGGAAGCCCTCGATGGACTGCGGGATCCTGACCTGCTCTCCGATTTTACACGAGCAGGACTCCCAGCTGGAGATTTTGACTGGGAGCGAGACTCCTAACGAAAAAGACAGTATTAAAAATGGTATTGGTTGTATAAATGCCTAACTCCTAACATTTAAAGTACAGTAATTCTATTATATTGATTGCTCCTGAAAAACAAATGGTTAGGCAATACCCTCCAAAACAAATTTCATTTTGCTAACCCACTGTTAATATTGTATGCTTTCCTCAAATAGGTCCCTGCTTGAACCAGATCACCAATTCTCTATTAACTAAGTAATCATGCAAATTCATCTACAACTTGATCATACAGACACTGGAACATAAACCATACATTTACTTAACCTAGGACCCATTCATTCTTCCAGATTCTTTTAATTCTACTTCACTCTTGCTTTCTACTTTTCTTCATTCTTCATTGAGTTTTTCATTTTTCATACTTCGTGTATTCTTCCCCAATTCAAACAATTCATTATAGCCTTAAAAAAACATTCAAGTGCTTCTATCTGACCAATCTTCTGTTCAATTTTTTCCCCCATTCAATTTTAATTTTCTGATCTTTAATACTTTTCATTAGCCTTCTTTTATCTTGATTTATCTTCCACATTCTTGGAAAAAACTCTTCAATTTCTTCACGAACATTAACCTTAATGGAAAAAGAACATTTAGTATATTTAAGCACGTGGGGATTATAAAACTCTGCTGGAGTTCAGATGTTATCTACCAAATTGAAAAGCCAGCAGGTAAAGTGCAAGAAACTATTTTATAAAACAACTTTTTTTTTAAAAAAAAAATCTTTAAAACTGTATATGTGTCTACGTTCTAACAATGAGCTTACTGAATTCTCAGTGTTTTACTGTGTTTTCAAAGCTACCCTCCTCCCCTTTCAGATTTTTTTTTTGTAAGATAAATAATTAATACACTAAAAACTAATTAGCACAAATATATTAAAGTATTGATACCAATAACTGTGATTTCCCCCCTAAAATAGTAACTATGCACTTCTCAATACCGAATATCCCAATTCTACTTCTACACATTATTACTAAGACACTCTCGGTTCAACAGAATGGCCAAAAAATTCCAGTCAAAAAAAAAAAATCTATCTATGCACATACTTACTCACATAATACATGCACATAGATATACACAAGACACATTAATTTTCTTCCTCATGGTTATCCTGTTTTCCTTCAAACAACTTAATCCATATAAACCAAGATATATAATAGGGCAGTTTAAAGCAATCCAATAAAAGACAGGAGGGGGTTTTGTTTCAGATAATGCACACAAGAGAAAAACTAGGAAAATAAGCAAACAAAGAAAAGCTTAGGATTTCCTCACATTTTATAGTCTATAGCATTTTTAGGGAGCTCAGCTATATAAAAAAAAACCTACAGAACTGTATGCTATATATATCTGTAACTTTACAAAAAACATGTAAAATTCTTACTGAAGAAATGCATAGTTCCCCCCCTTAAAGTGTTACATTTTTATTTGCATCACTTCTCCTGCCTGTCCTCAATGTTTTTCTGAATTTATTTCTTACTCCATCTCTGTCTAGATTCGCATTTTCTTTTGTGGTTAAAATTCCTCAGTACTTTGGGCTGAAGTTTTTTTCAAAGGATGCTGTCCTCACATTCAAGACAATAACTCCACTGAAAATGGAACTTTAGAGACCCCTTACTAACATATACCTCAATAAAAAGGACAAGGGACACATGGCGAATGTCACCTATTGGCATGATAAGCCTATCAAACTTATCAATGAAGGCCAAATTTGAAGCCTGGCTGTGACACATGGGGTCATATAATCAGGTCTGCATTACAGGTTACCCGTATGAAGTTGACTATCTACTGAACTAGCTACCTGACTGTCACTGAAACAAAGGGACGTATGTACACTTAAATGTAACCAAATTCTATTTGTTTTTATTTTTACACTTGAAATTTACTGTTCACTATAAAAAAAATACATTTCCTTTCAGAACCACTAACATGCTTTTTAACCACCTCACCTCTATTTTTGTACTTTCTATTGTTTGATAGCCTCCTTAATTCTTCCTTTTATACTTCATTCCCTGCAACAATTACCAGTTTCTCTGGGAATTACTTTCACTTCCCTCTCTAGTAAAAGCGATTAGCACTACAGAAGAACATTTAATGTGACATCATTCAGAGTTAGAAAACATCCTTTCGATAAAAGACAAAGAATTCACCCTCCTCAGTCACTCCCTTCATGAGGATAATGTGTTGTCCATGGGTTTTTTTCCATTTGAAAAATCAATTCTTAAACAAGAACTTTGGAAACTTGAACAAAACAAACCAAACAAAAACCAGAATGTAGTAGTGCTGTGAGGTGCCAAAAATACCAAGAACCCAATCACTCCCGTACAATGTAAAAGTTAACTTAGTGTCCTTATCTATTCAACTGAAGCATCTTATGACACTACCCATAGAGTTTCTAATAGTATCAGTTATCACAATGAATTTGTATTAAGTTGCCAAAAGCAAACGTTACATCATTTCACGTAGGTCAAGTCCTTTCAGAACTATCTATTTAAGCCCTTCAGGGGCCACACTCACAAACATACAGCTTTAAAATTGGAGTGACAGAGGTGACAGAATTAGCTCTTACACATTTCAAACTTCCTCGAACAAAGTAACTGTAGATGTAAACTGCAGCTAAAGAGAGATTACCTGTTAGCAGTTGCATACTGCGTCTGTCACTGGCAGGCAATTACATCTCATCTTCTGATGCAACATAGATCACCTAGTTATATCTCCTACAGCTTCAAAAGGAGAGACTAAGGGAATCACAACAATCTGCAAGAGTTTAAGGACTTATGGATGAGACTGAAAAAATACCTACTAAGATTTTTATCAGCAAGCCTACAGGTAGGGATCGAAAGATTCAGAGCTTCCAGGAGTCACAAAGGAAGATTTTATAGAATTTTCCTCTTGAACTTCCTACTATAAGGCAATAATTAGCAAGCTATATTTTAGTCTGTGTCACAGACAGACCCAATTGTTCTGCATCAACAATTTATATCCATTCTGCAATATGAATGAGAAAATTAAATAGTTAACATTCTTAGTACATTATCTTTAATGAGAGAAGATAGACCCCTCCATTATTCAAAGCATTAAAATCTCTCAATTCTGTACTAGTCTTTAAGCAATCTAGATATTCTGATCTCAGCTCCATCGTTATCACAGAATTTAATTTAACTACTTAAGAGAGAAAAGACTAAGATTTCTCTCTGGATCCTCAACGTTTTATGATCTTTCTGTTCTAAAGATCCTCAGTCATTTAAGAGGCACGAATAAGACTGCATTTCTTAAACTCAGTTTCTCATCTCACAACTATCTTACAAAACATTATGTATTTTAATACCTTCTGCTACACAACTGTCCAGTCACTACTTTCACCCTTACAAACTTACAGGCAGATACTCACTACGACCATGTCAAACTATCTAGATCTACTGTCACTACAGCCTGTAGGAAGAGACAGTCAGCTAATTTCCTAATAGTCTTCATATCAGACTTCTCTTTCTAAACAAATGCTATATCTGTCAATAACACTTTTCCCCACAGCAAAACTAAAAAAAGCAAACAAAATCCCCACAAAACAAATAAAAAACACACCAGAAAAGCCACCTAAATAAAAATAAATCTCAATCATAACAGCATGCTTCCTCAGAATAAGATGCAGCAGGTTCCTCATGTATGTACTGTATGTAATGGGATTAATGATTCACCAAGAAGTGGAACTTGGAGCCAAAGAAATCATTGTAGCTGAACACAAGATCTAAAAACTGCAGCTTCATTTACTGACTCTCTGGATAAGATAATGTCCAGCTAGAAGCATTTAAAGAAACCACTGAGGAGTATTTTTTTATCCTTTCTATCTTCTCTCTGCCCAGAAAGAGCAACATGAAACAAAGTGATATGGAAAGGATATCTCCCCCTGCCCACTCCCAATTAACTTATAATCACAAATCTAGTCATTGAACAACTATCAACAACTTTAGATAATCCAGCTCAGCATGATGTCAGACCGTCAATGAAGTTCATCCCCACCGCTACAACTGATTCAACCTGCATCTACTGTTTATCTTCATTGCATCATTCAGAAGAAATGCTACTTTCCATAGTAATTACTATTTTGAAAGCACTCAAAACACTTCTATGCAGAGTAAAATTGCAAAAGTCTTTAAGAAGGATTCTTTCAGTTTTCCACCTACCATGAGAGGGTATGATAAAGAACAATGGGGAGAAAAAAAAAAAGACAAAATTGTTCTTTTTTACCACTCTTCTGTCATGCCTTACTTCACCTCACAGCTTATCATTTCAGAGTATGACAGGAAGGCCATCAAAATTTAAAGTGAGATGCTAAATAAAAAGACCTGAATAAGCTTAAATTAGGTGTTCTATAGCAAGACATGGGAATTGAAATGGAAAGAAAAAAATAATTAGATCACCCTGAAATTTCAGCTGAAATTCATTTAACCTTGTTAAGAAGAAATACCTATAACACACTGGGGAAAAAAGACAGGGCAACAAGTAGTCTAACGATATCATTAAGCCAGCAAAATGATAGTTCAGACTTTACAAAAATCCTGCTAAAAACTCCTGTCCAAACTCAAAAAATAAATGAAGTCCAATTTTGTAAGGGAACAGAAAAATGAAAGTCAAGAAAGAAACAGCAGTTTAGTATTACCTACATGCCAAACTAACAATTTAGTGACAACTCATTTACAAGAAAGGACAAGATTATGTTTTAACAGGAATCTACCAACTTCCCCTGAACCTCACCAGAGAAGTTAAATCATTTTTGCTCTATGTTCTGTCACTTTATACTAAAAATAAAACTGACCCCTTAACTAGCTGTTCTTTTATAAATATTTCATTAGTATACAAAATAAGCGTCTACACAAAAAGCAACTCATAAGTTGTACTATCTTGAAGATAAGTGTATTTTAAGTTACCAACATCAGCAAGCTTCACGTATTTCTCAATGATACTGCTCCAATTAAAAGGAAAAAAAGAAACAAAAGGAAGAAGCAGCTTCAGCAATAAACTTCTTGAAATTATAAGTTAATCTTCTCATTGAGGCTTGAAACCATGCCTCTTCTTGAAGGGTTCTGTAGTCACTCCTTTATCACTTATGGAAGATGAAATGGAATTTGTTTTCGGAAAGAGCAGTCTTCCCAGCTGACACAGTCGAATTTATTAAGCTTGGTAAAAAAAAAAAACAAACGGAGGAAAAAAAAAGACTTTTTGAAAAAGTCTCCATCACTGGTCCTTAGAAACCACAGGGCGACCACAGTGCTCTCCAAGCAAACAAAGAATGCCTGAGCATGCTGTCATGCCTGTACATCAAAAGGTATGGAAAGCAACGTGCCTTCCTATCCACAGAGGTGGCGGATTGCCACTGCAGGAGAGGTTGAATACAATAGCTAAACAGACTTCCTCCATCATTTATTTATTTTTACTCAAATTACCTGAAAAGGTTCATGAAGCAAGTACAAGACAAATTCACAGTTAATCTAATAAAAGCCGCTAGCACACATATGCACTACGCACACTTCCTTCAACGAGATGGCTCACATGCAAAATCATCTATTTCTTGAAGTGCTGTATTAGAGATCACAGTGAATCTTGCAGAGAGCAGGAAGAAGCATCACATTAGAACGAAGACAACCAATCTAGACTTCTATCTATCTAAACAGATACAAAGTTTTATCTATTTAGACAAATAGCACAGTAATACTGGTAGAAAACTACTAAACTTTTTAAGATTACAGAAATTAAACATTATCAGAAGCTCAAAAAACATTTATCAAAGTTTCAAGTGGAGCTTCTAAAGCACAGGTTTGTTCAGCCTCCAGCTTGTTTGCTGCATTTTAATGAATTTGCATCACAGAATATGCACCAAATGAACAATCTGTTATTTAAAATAACTGAACAAATAGGAAAGGAAGTAAGAGTTGCTTATCACCTTACAGCAACAAAAGATAAAAAAGCCTCATTTGTCTAACCTGCTTACAAAGAACATTCAATGGTGACAAAATCCTATGACTTTTCCAAAATTCAAGTCACTGAATAAGAAGCATGACTTAAATTTTTTTTTTTCTTCTTAATGTCCATAAACTTAGCTCTAGCACATCCACTATATTTCTAATTCTTCTGTCAGTTTCTTTCCATTAAATCACCATTCTTGCAGGGGAGATTTCTTCTGTTCAACCAGCCACATTCTTAATACAGAACTTGCTTAAGTTGAAAAAAAATGACAGAAAAACAGAGCAGGTGTTAATTAGTCTGAGCATATTTGAGCATTGACTTTTTTTTCTAAAGCAAACATTAAAAAAATGAATGAGCTCCAGAATTAAAAAAAACAAAACCAACCAAACTCTACAATGCCTACAATGATTTCACTCAACACTTTAGAAATGCAAGTTTTAAAATAGTGCAAATTATGCGATGTCACTGGAAAGTTATTTCCAAAATTATTCTAAATGTCCTGTTCAGATTAACATTATAATTTTAAGATAATAAATTACAGGCAAAGCATGTACATGGGCAGTATCTAAATGCTGCTAAAAATAAGCTCTTTTTTTAAAGTAGTAAAATTCCTGACCATATTGTAGGAAAACTAAAAATTTTAACAGAATTATCTGTTTTCATACATGAACATTTTTTTTTCACAAAGTGGCAAAACAGGAAAACACTTTCTAACTGATCTTGCTTTAAAACAGAACTTCAAACCTATCAATAAGCACCTTCAGCTCGCTATTGGACTTCATCACGACTTGCAAGAACTTGAAGCACTTTTGGGACAATATGAATCAACATGGATAGAATATAAAAGGACTTAAACTAGACTTAAAACTCCCTTACTGCTTCGGCATTTAGTTTTTAAGAAGCACACCACACTACGTAGTATTTGAACTGAATAGAAGGGGGAACTGAAAGGGTAGTCAGTGTTCTTATTTGTGCAATTTCCAGGAAAGCAGGTTCTTTACAAACTTTCTTCCAGTTTCTGCAGTTCTTTCTCCCGTTGAAAACCTATGCCATATCCTCTCAGTTCCACGTGCCTGCATACAGCAAACTGAAGCACCAAGAACCAAGAGTTCCATCCAATTGGGAATGGCAGACTAAAGCCCCAAATCTCAACATGCTTAATTTTATGCCTGTGAGTACTTTCAGTGAAAATGAACATAAAACATTACAGCCTGAAATATAATTTCTTATTTCAAGTATTTTAGTAGCATCAACAAAAAAGTATAACTGAAGAAAAAAGAACTGCTTACAAATGTTCTTCATTAGTAGAACAAAAACCCCAAAACTGTAAATGAATCAAGTACCTGCCATTACAACCAGTTATAAAAAAAACCCCAGTAGACGTGACTCTGCTATGTGCCAGATTGATTGAGAAATTCCAGTATTAGGGAGAGAAAAAAAGTTTTCCAATTGAACACTCAACATGGTCAGCAACTCTTTCCAACAGGTAGATTTTCCACCAGGAAAAAAAGAACAAGTCAACTGAGAAGCAGTAGTCATGGGAACTGCTACATAGGACTTCTCAAATTTCATATACTCTCAAATTATTATTTCACTTCTACAATTGGCAGAAGAAAGCGTGCAGAAATACTGAAACCACACAGCTATATCAGCTTTGTAACACACCAGATCCATCAAAAACCTAATATAAACGTTCTGTGGATGAACCTAACAAATATTTCCTAACAATAAACCACAGTGGGAATACAGACAAGAAAATAATTTTTAAAAATCTTATTGTAAATTGAGAGACTGAAGTAAAAATCGGAAAAAAAAAATAATAACACGCTCGTTGCTCAACATTCTCAATTTTAGTTGGCTTTTCCTTCAGAGGTAGTTTTATTTAGTTGAAAAGAACTGAACTATATAGCCATCTTTGTCCAAGCAATCAACACAAGAACAGATTTTGTTTACCTCACCTGAGGAACCAGCAGCAGCCACTGCACAGCCAGGTACAGCACTTGCAGCCTAGGGAAGGTTTTTTCTTTACTAACACTACAAAAGTGTAACAATATTGCTGTAAAAATAATCATTGGAACACGACACTGTCCAGCTGCTGTCACTGGTTCATCAGAGAGTCACCAAAAGGATGCTCAGGTGTTCCTCTAATGCACCTCTTAAAGAGAGAAAAAAAAACCACCACTCTGCAAAATTAAAAAGAAAGGCAAATAGTGATGGAGTGAGGACAAAGCACACATTTCATGCCTGTTTCAAGCAGCTTCCTGCTTGCCCTGATCAGCACTAAGGAAAAAAAAAAAAAAAAACACACGTTGAAAATGGAAGGGACCAGCCATACGTGTACACGAAAAACCGCAGCAGAGGTAAGAGAGAAACAGGCCTAACGAGGTTACAAAGCCACGGCAGCTTCTAGAGAGAAAGAAGTCTTCAGCTGCCTGATGAATGATTTTCAACAACGCAGGCCGTACCTCCCCGATGGCTTCGGAAGCCACGGCCCGAGAAAGCTCCCGTTGGCGGGCCGGCAGCCAGGAGGGGCAGCGCACCTCTCACAAAAGGACCCGGTCCCTCCTCTTTCAGGCGGGCGAGGCCTGGGCCGCGCTCCGCGGGGCCGCGCTCCGCCAGCCGCGGCCGGGAGAGCGGCACAGCCCGCGGGCGAGGAGGGGGGCGGGGAAGGGCGAGCAATGGCTTCGGAAGCCACGGCCCGAGAAAGCTCCCGTTGGCGGGCCGGCAGCCAGGAGGGGCAGCGCACCTCTCACAAAAGGACCCGGTCCCTCCTCTTTCAGGCGGGCGAGGCCTGGGCCGCGCTCCGCGGGGCCGCGCTCCGCCAGCCGCGGCCGGGAGAGCGGCACAGCCCGCGGGCGAGGAGGGGGGCGGGGAAGGGCCCCGAAGCCTGGACCCGGCAAACAACGGAGGGCCTGGACAACAAGGCTGCTCGGGATCGAAAGAAAATGAACAGAGAAGGCGGGGTGTGTGGGGGGGAAAGAAACAGCGGCCCACGGCAGCGCTCGAAGCCTTATTCTTGAAGAAATAAAAAACCTCGGGTGGGAGGGTGGAGGCGAACCCGCAGCACCGGAGCTGAGGGCCCGCACCCCCATGGGGGGGATGAGGGAGGAGAGAGACGATGGGAGAGGGAGGCGTGTGAGGGGTAAGACAGCGGGGCCCAGCTCCTCAGCGCCGGGTGGGCAAAATAAAAGGAGGGAAAGAGGCAGAGGGAGGCGATTCGCCCACGGCCCAGTCAAGACTCGACCGCCTTAAGAAGCCATTTTAGAGACAAGCTGCGTTGCCCCCAGCCCTAGCGGGCCGGAGGACGAGGAGGGCCCCCCTTCCACCCTCTCTCTCCCTCCCCGGGTCAGCTCAGCCCCTCTCAGCACGGCCCAGGCAGGGACGGCCACTCACCCTCCCCTCGAAGTTGTTCTCCTCCACGTCGCTCATGTCGGCAGAGTCCTGGCCACGGGGCTGGGCGAAGGGGGACGCTAGTCCCGAGCAGCAACTGCACCCGCTACCGCTATTATCGCCCCCGCCGCTACTATCGCTACCGGCACCGCTGCCACCACCTCCCTCCCGCCAAAGCCTCCCAAACCGTCTGCCCGCAGCAGCGCAAAATGGCGCCTCCGCTCCGTCTGCGCCCGGCACCGCGCGGGGGGCGGGCCCCGCCTCGCCCCGCCTGCCACAAAGGAGGCGCCGCCGGCGGGACAGGGAGCGCGGCTGCGACAGGCTCCGCGGGGGAGGAGAGCGGGATGCGCATGCGCGGCACCCTCCGCGGGCACGCGCCCGCGCCCCTCCGGCGGGAACGGAGCGGAGCGGGGTGGGGGGTGTGTGTCGGGGCGGCTCTCGGGGGCGCGCCGCCGCGGGAGCGAGCGGAGGGTTCCCCTACGCCGCCTTGCAAAGGGGGGCTGCCGGCATCGCCCTCGGTTTTCGTCTCTCCACCCCCGCACCGCGGGAGCGGGCTCTGAAAATCAATCCGGTTACGTCGCCGTTACCCGCGGTGTATCGTGCCGGCGGAAGGCTGGAAGGTGGCTGTTGTTGTGCACGTTTGAAAACGGTCCCGTGTGATTCGGTCTCGAGTAGTTCCAGGAAACAAAGGCCTGAGATTTCACTTGGAGCCTCGAGAATTTGCTGTCAATCAGGATTTTGCTGAAAGGCTTATCATTTCGGGGGGGTTTCCCGGTGCCGCCTCTGTATCCCGTGCCTTCTCCAGCACACACCGGTGACCAGGGCAGCCCACACCTTGCAGGCAGCAGGGGCTCAGCACCTGGGCCAAGCAGGGTGGGTTCCTTTGGTCAGGAAATTTCCAAAGATGGTGAAACTTGCTCTGCCTGTGCGGGAAGGCCAGGAGAGCAGGTGAAGCCAGCGGCCAGCAGCTGTGGCTACAGACTGCACTTTGCAGAAACAGCGCTCTCCCCGTTTCCTCAGCCTCTTCCAGCTGTGGTGGGACGCTCAGCCGCTGCTCCTGCCCCAACTCTGCATCTCCCCTGGGCTGCTTCAGCGGCAGGAGCTTCCCTTGGTGGCTGAGAAGCTCCTGAGCTGGCTGAGGCTGGTTATCTTCAGTTCACTGTGGTTGTAACCAAGGAACGACCAGCCCAAGTGCTCGTGTGAGCGAGTATTCCCGAAAGGGAGCAAGGAGCTCAGATTATTATTCATAGGCAGGAGATGTTTCCCTAGAAATCAAATGCCTTTGCTACCCAAAGCATGCTCCTTGGGCTTTAGACAGCGGCCACATCCCCAGCACTGGTTGCTTCTCCTTCCACAGCCCATGACGTTGGGTTTCCAAAAGCTGCTGTGGAAGCACGGCCCTCTTGGCGAGGTGTCCCAGTGGAGAAGCCATGTTCACACTGCTCATCCACACACGGCTCAACCCACAGCTCGAGGTTCTACCGGAGCCTCATCATGGGCTCATTTTTACAGAAATGGTTCAATGCTCCCTACCTGGACCATAAATGATCTTCATTGTTTCTTGCATCTATTGTAAATGGCAGGCTGGGACTGTACATGCCAGCCCTTCCTCTTTTTGCCTGGCGAATCAGAATTAAATAATCAATTAAAGAGTAAATTAGCTGGCAATGGTAAAGAGGGCAGTATCAGGGAAAGATATTTCTTGTCCTCTAGGTTTGCAAAATATTTAATTTTGGCCAAAAGTTTCTTGCATGTCACTTACTTCAAAAGCTTTAGTCAACTCCTTAGCCAGTTCTTGTTTAATTACAATTAGATTTTTATTCCTAGGAGGCTGGCCTGAGTTTTAGCCTCTGCTGATGACTCAGTTTCTAAAAGCCATTCTGAATCCATGTCATAATCTGTCTTTTATACCAGCTCTACTCCGCTCAGCTCCAGTAGACAGATTTGCTCATCTCCCTTTCCAAGTGTAACTTTATTAATAAAGCACTTATTCTACTGCAAGATCATAGACTGTTCTGGTGTAATCTGATTCTGATCCTAGCTGACGCTGCCTGTAATCTAACTCCAGGAACAAAAGGGAACGAGCGTGAAGGGCATGCTTAAATGCTGAGATGAAAATGCTTATCAGTCTTCTACAAAAAGGTGGATCACTTTAAAAAATGGAATTTGAAGAACACATTGAAAATACATAATAAAACATACATAATTAAAAAAAAAAAACAACCAGGTGAAGGAGGTCAGGAGAACACAGGACAGGAATATACCTTTTGTTAAAATGTATGCATGTGAGATATAGCCCACATTGTTAATACCAATGCACACATTCAGATGTTTGTGTTATTTCAGCAGGATTTTTCCATTGCTGTGATCCTAATGTGTTCTGGCAATTAAACCTAAAATTAAAATGGCAGTCACTGATACAAACACCTGTTTTTAAAAAGCCTAATCAACTTTACATTTTAAATTGGAAACTGCAAGCTCTCTTCGCCATTTTTTTCCGTAAGCCTTCTGCCTTCTTGTACTTTCCTGGAGTAAAAAGACATCAACTTTCACAATTTATTAGTAAGATTGTGAAGTTGATCTGTGTCTTTGGGAGCCTCTCTGCTAAATGGAAGATGGCTCAAACACAGAAAACAGCTGGAGATGGCCTAAAGGATACATTAACGTGGCATAATTATATGTACTTCAAGCATGCGTCATGGAGCTTTTTCAAGCAATATTAATATACTGTTGTAATATACTGTTAGCTTTAATGCACTAGTGAGTATACAATATTCAACATTTGGGGAAAAAAATGCACTTTGGGGGGAAAGATGGGCCCAGATCTGACCCATTCCCTAAAGTAAAAGAGTATAAATTACTGGTAAGGGATCAGGAAGAGAGACAAATAGAAGTGGTAGTAAGGAAAATATAAGGTTGTATATATTCTTATCTATGTATACAGATTAAAGGATTAATCAGTTAAGTAAGAAGGCAGCAGTTACACTAATCACAAAGTATATTGATCAGAGTGCTCTTGTCTGGCCATTACCATTAAGTTGTTTAAACAGATCATGAGAGAGGAAATTCTTAATACATATTTGAAAAGGACAGAGCAATAGCTATGCAAATATGGACAGTCTACAGATAGTGAATGGCACGGGAAAGGAACAAAGATAACATTCATCAGCAATCTATTTTTCATTTTTTGCATTTTGAAAAATAATACGGAACACTGCAGTGTAGGAAGTTTTTACTCCTGCAATCCTGGGCTTTTATCTATCCCTCGAAATGATCTTGAAAATATTATTACCCACAAATAGGAAGACCATGTAAACACTTTAAGGTTTGATTTTTATTTGTCACTGAAGAGAAACAAGGTGCTTGACATGATTTTGTGATGTAGTTTTTACCACACATATTGGATAAGGGGGAAAAGTATCACCTAATATAGTGAGATGCATGTTCATGAAAGGTGGCCAAATACATGAGGGCTTCAGGCAACAGGAATTAAGAACGTTATAGATAGTTGAGAGTTCCTGTCAACAGAGGGTATGTTTATAATGGAGACAGATTTCTTAATACAATTTTCTGACCTCCACAAGCAAATCTTCCTGTGATTATACCATTGACAGATTTCCCTTTCTCTCCCTAGTAAGCTCTAAATACCATATAAATTATATTTGCAGACATTACAGCTGTTCACTGCACGTCTGTGAAAATAAAGGATTAATCACTGAGCAAATAGTACAGTAATAAATGGCAGTAAATT